ACGCATTCCTTTATCGTAATCAGTATTTTTTAAATTTTCTAAGGTTTTGTTCTATAGTAATAAAACAAATCTTTGAATATACAGCAATGTAAAATTTTCAATAATATTAAATTCCTATAACTAGAATCAGTATGAAAGGAACTTTCTAACTAAAATTTAAACCTTTCACCCTGGAATTCCTATCTTCTCCTTCCTTTGAGACTCTGTAGGACTTAAAGTCTTTATCTAGGTCTATATTTTCTATTATATAATATCCTGCATAGCAACTGCTTAGAAGATAATGAATTCTTAAACTAGAGGCATTTTTAAGTTACAAACATGCTTAAATATTTCCAATTTGGAGAAGCTTCTCTGAGAAAACAGTTCTACTCTAAAGGTGAAAGCTGCAATTATTTATAATAGTGACGTATTTAAATCTATGTAAATGTCTAATAACAGGAGATTGATTAAAAATATTGTATGTCTAAAAGACTGAATTTATGATAGACATTAAGCAACATTTCAGGTAAATTATGCCAAATGTTAATAATAGTTGTAACTATATAGTAAAGTTATAAATATTGTTTTCTTTCTCTCTTTTGGTATTTACTAAAATTTATGTAAGAAATATTGTTTTTAAAATGAGGACTTTTAAAAAGTTCACAAAGTTAAGAACAGTTTATTTATTGGACAGCACGAGTTAAATGACTCCAGGATCAAAGAATGAGTGACACAATGCAATGCTTACTGAGGAATCATTACCAAAAGTGAGCTTTTCTTCTATAAACTTCCAGAACTGAGACCAAGCAGGACCACATTCCTAATTATTGGCAAAACAGCAGCCCCAACAGATACATTCTATTCAAGAAGGCTTCCAAAAGTTAAAATATTTATGTACAAAGGGAATGAATTATTTCAAGCACAGGGAAAAATAAAATAGTAATGCCAAGGGATAATACACAATTTATACAATTTTTCCACTGTGAAATTCCACACTTCACCTCTCAGATGACTCACTTTCCAAGCCAGAGTTTTAACAGAAGTGGAGAGGCATACAAAATACTATATATTCCTGAGTGTACTTATTAAGTCTTTTACTGATGTAAAATCAACATACCATAAATTGCCCATATTTAAAATGGTATATTACACAGTTATGAAACCATCATCACCATCAAAGTAATGAACATATCCATAATCTGCAAAGATTTTCTTGTACTTTAAAATAAACTCTCATTCTTGCCTCTTTCTAGCCCACCCATCTTATTCTCAAATTAGTTTGTCACTATTTAGCATAAACTAGTCTGTTACTACATATTGCTTTACATTTTTTAGAATTTTATAGTACTGTATTCTTACTTCATTCATTTTGAACAATTATTTGGAGATGAATATATGTTGTATGATGTATGTATAGTGGACTTTTTAGTTGCTAAGCAGTATTCCATCATATAAATATATTTATTCACTCAACTGTTGATGGATATTTGGGTTATTTAGAGATTCTGGCTATTAAAAACAAAGCTTCTATGAACAGTCCTATACACGTAGGCACAAAATTTATTTTCTTTTGGGTAGCATATAGTAATTGGCCTAACAGTAGAAAGGCGATGGTAGGTTTAAATTCTTAAGAAACTGCCAACCAGAGTGGCATATTCTCACTAGTAGAATATGAGGATTCCATTTCCACCACATTCTTGTCTGCATTTAAAAGGCTTGGTCCTTTTAATTTTAGCCATTGTAATTACCATGTGGTGATATCTCTTTTTGGTTTTAATTTGGATTTCTTAATGACTAGTATAGCTCCTTATTATTTCATATGCCCCCGCCCGAATATATTTTCTTTGGAAAATTTTATATTCAAATCTCTTGAAGACGTCAATAAAATCATTGATTCTCATTTATTGAGTTGTGTGAGGAGATATAAGTCCATAATATTACTGGTCTTAAATAATTGGATTTTGGTGAACTGTGATGTAGTTGTCTTCATGTTTTTGTTTTGGGGGCTCATTGATCTTTTTGGATGTGTGGATTTATAGTTTTTGTAAAATCTGAAAATGTTTCAGCCCTTTTTCATTAAATATTCTTTTTCTGTACCTGTTCCTCTGGTTTGTGTACTTACATTACAAGTACATTAGACCACTCAAATCTGTTTGTATCTCATTGATACTCTATTCATCTTTATACATTCATCTTTATTTCTGTTTCATCTTAATACTTTCTATTTTCATGTCATCACACTTACAAATCTTTACATCTATGATATTCATTTGTCATTAATTGCATCCAATGTATGTACTGTTCCTTTCATGCATTTTAATTTTTATTTCTAAAAATTCAATCTTTTCATATATTCTATGTCTACTTGATTTTTCTAACATATGTAATAGTTACAGAACTATTTTAAAGACTTTAACTTGCTAATTCTAATGTCTGAGTTAGTTCTGGTTTTCAATTGATTTTTACTGTCTTGAGTCATATTTTTCTAATATTTTGTCTGATGATTTTTTATTGAATTCTAGATATTATAAACTCAATTTAATTGGGTGCTGAATATCTTTCAAGTCTCATGAATATTCCTGAGCTTTGATCTTGATAAAGTATTTCTCCTTTATGAGTGGAGGTTATGTTTTAAGTGCCTCATTAGATTCCTGAAACTGGATAGTACCTAACCCTGAAAATACAATTATGTTTCCTGTCCACACATATCTATGATATAGTTTTGTTTATAAACTAGGTATAGTAAGAGATTAACAATAACTAACAATAAAAATAAGACAAATATATTTATAAAGTGTAATAAGTATTTTTATTGTATTATATTCTCCCTTCCTCTTCTTGTGACAATGTGAGATGATACAGTATCTACATGATGAGATACAGTGAGGTGAATAACATAGGCATTGTGGCATAGAATTAGGCTACTCCATAAGGGTTACTTGAACACAAGCACTATGATATTGCAGATAGTTAATCTGATAACCAATTCAGCTACTGAGTGATTGAGAACGAAGTAGTTTATGCAGCATGGACATGCTGGACAAAGAAATAACCACATTCCAGGTGGGACTGAGAAAGATGTCACAAAATTTCATGACACTATTCAGAATAGTGTGAAATTTATAATTCATAAGTTATTTATTCCTGTAATTTTTTATTTAATGTTTTTGGAACTTGAATGACCATAGGTAACTGGAACTTTGAAAAACAAATCACATAAAGCAGACTACTGTATAGGATTAATTTACTTGGGCACTATTTGATTTTACTTTTAAGATTTTTTTAGGCAATATTGGAAAGGCATTTAAAACTAATTATTTACCAATAAATTAATAATTAATTATTCCCTAAGAAACCAGTATTTTCACAGAAGTGAAAACATTTCTGTGTACTTTACCAGATTTCCCATGAATCATAAGTTATTCTAGTTTGGGTGGTGAGAACAGATGCTATGTTCAGCACTGTGCCACTGTCCACCATTGATCTGTTCAAGTAGATCTGTTAATCTGTTCAGGTCGATCTTTCCTTGCCTTTTGGCTTCCTTACATACATGCACCCAGCAATACTCTATAGAAGACATGAAGGGGCTTGCTACAGATCTCTGGCATTCTAGTTCTGTGTCCTTTTTTCTAGTGCACTGCCTGCAAACTCTGAGCTATGTCTCTTCAACTCAAAGTTTCCCAGGCACTGCCAGGGTTCTGCTTCCAAATGCTGTGGCCTGGGAACTCTCTCAAGGTGGTAAGATAGGGAACTCACAGGGCTCATACCATTTTACCCATCTCTAAGGATCATTATCTTACATTGTTTGATAATCCTTGTTTCATATGTTTTCTCCAATTGTTTATTTTCCAGGATGTGTGGTAATTCTGATATTACATTTCTAAGGGTAAGAGGTCTAGCTGGGGCTGGTGGCAAGCAATGCTTAGTTGGAAGTAGACATCCCTAAATGTATTCATTTTGATCCTGAATAGCAACTGGTAAACTTCAAGATTCTGAGTGATGAGTAAGATGTTCCCACAGAAATTGCTATGTTTATACAATGATAGACACTCAAATATTCTTTTGTAAAAAAATTCATATAAAAAAGAAACAAACAAAAAACCAGATGGTTTCAACCAGAATTGTTTTTGTTACTATTTAATAGCCATTACTTTGAGTAAATAGTCTTCTTTTAAAAAATGTGCTTTTAAAAATTAATATTCTCCACACTATTCTTTGGTATCTTTGCTAAAGTGTTAGATATGTTTTTATTTTTATTGCCAGTTTAAATTACACAAAAGGTTATAGAGCTAAGTCCAAAATCATTTATTTGACTTTTTTTTCTTTTAAATTCAGGATTATTCCATCAAAACTTAACTTTAGAAAAATATACAGATAATAGCACAGTAACATAATAGAAATATTTTATAATAAAAACATAATTTTTATGGATAAACTAATATAATTTCAAATCATTTATACTGTACCTACAGGTAAAATTAGCTATTTATCTGGAATTAACACCTTAGTTGTTTCAAATTCTCCGGAAATTTTGTTAAATTGTTTGGACCATTATATAATATGGAGCTTTCAGATTGTTTTACTGAACTGACTCTCCATACCATCAAAAATGGATGAACTGGGTGCATATGGAACCACAATTCCAGTCTGGGAACAGGAGTCTTATGTTGGAACTATTTGTTCTGCAGAGCTCAAAGAAAATACTGGTGAATCTCTTTTCCTATAATGATTTTCATCAAGGGACTCTGAAGTTATAATAATATTAATGCTTTTAGATCAAAGGTGTTGTAGAAAAGATAGTTGTACTTGAAGTTGTCCATGACGTATAAACATAAGAATAAGCAAGGAAGGAAATCACAGATGGAACTTAGAATCACCTTTCTCTTGCATCAGAAACTGTATTCATATACTAAATTATATATATAGTATATTCACATATAGTATATTCATATACTATATATATTCATATACTATAGTATATATATATAGTATATTCATATACTAAATTAAACACACACTAGTAAGACATTGACCTAATATTTACCCAATGACTACTACAAACTGAAATAGGAACTATTCAATAGATTGGTATATTCATGCTAGATATATAAAATATACCTTGGCACCTACTGCCTTTGCAGTGTCAGTAAGCACTGCAGTACCAATGAACCTGCTTAGAAAATTTTCCTAAGGACAAAAGTGGATTTTTTTTTGTCTAGAAAGTTATTTTGGAGGATCAACAGACTTAGACAAAGTTTAACTTAGAAGAACAGCGTGATTTATTTGTATGAATTCTTGAGGTTTAAAGCTGTGACCCAGTTGCACATTCACTAATTTCTCCCCTTAACTCTGATTTTACTATGAAGGAGGCAATGCAGGCTGGACTCAACATGAGAAAGAAAATATCACAGTAGGTACAGTGCGGGGGCCAAAGTGAAGTGTGGGTAAACTACAATCGAAATTCAATGTCCAACAACCCACATAATTTTAGTTAGAAAATAACAGTTAACATTGTCTGTAATTTTGCCTAGGATGTGAAATGGCTTCACAGAGACAGGAGAAAAGGCCACCCAAGAGATCCATATGCATTGTTACGGGTTCCAAGAGTCCTACTGGTAGATCACCACATCTGTTGACACTGATATTCTTCCTCTGTGCAGCTCCACAACATTTCTAAGAGTGAGAGAGCTCCTGTGGCTGGTGGCAAGCAGTGCTTCCTGCTACCTCTGCAGAGTGGCATTGACAGTATCCCTTTCCCACGTGACTTTGTCGGAAGAGCGCCACCAATCCTAACACTGCGCACCTAATATTTTGGGGAAATGCAAAGTGGTTTGTGCTTATTAAAAACAACAAAAATATGAATTCTTAGACTAGGGAAGGGAGATTATGGTAGTAGTTAAGAGCCTTGACCTGAACATTTACCACTCCGATTGTTGTGTGAAGTTGTACAAGCTGTTTCACTTTCCTAGCCCTTATTTCTGACCGGAGAAAATCAGTGATTTTTTTCCTGGCTCATAATAAGGAGTGGGGACTAATCACAGGTGAAGTGCTTAACATAGCATCTGTAAAAACATGCTAATCATTGTTAATATCAAATGATGTAGGATTGTCTGGCTCTTACGTTTCTTTTACTGAATTGTTATCTGGTAGCCTCTTATTTTACACCAGATTCACAATGGAGAAAAATAACATTTTTTTATAACTTACCTGTTTTTGTGAAATAACTGTGGAAGAAGTTGAAATACTGTGAACTCATCATATCCCAATCGATATCATAGTTACCAAGTTCTCTTTCAGATTTATCTGGGGACACAGGCTTCTTAAAAGCTCATGTGCTTGAAAATAGAGTGTTGACGGCTCTTCAGTGCAAATGTGGTGATGATGACAATGACCCATAAGTGTCTGAAACTGGAGGAGATGGTTTCACCTAGAAACTTGACATAGCAGTTAAATAGGGGAAAATGAAGAAGTAAAAGACAGAAGTTTGAGAATTACTGAATCAATTCAATGTCACTAGAACAGGAGGCGATGATTGTTGGAATGGCACATAAATGAATTATTTTCCTCTTCTTTATTTTTACAGATCTTTTGGTGAATGGATTATTACATGATGAATGAAGGTGAGGAAGGTGGAAACAAATTTATTCTTCTAAGTAAGATTTGTTTGGACATGCAGCAAAATGCATGGCTCTCAGCCTTCAGAAAGAGTGTTCCCCACACAGTGTGCCTCTCTTTTACTGCAGCGCCACATGTGACAGAAAATACAATTAGCCTTTCAGCTGGGCTTTGCATTTTTCTGATCTTCTAACAACTGGGTGTCAGATATCTCAATGTATAACCACCCACTCACAACAAGATTATACATTAGACTCTTTGTTATCTACTTTTATGAAAGATTTCTGAATGCTAAAAGGAATAAATTAACGCTGCCAAATCCGTAATAAAGTCTCTGTCTCTCTCTGATTGTTAATATTTCCATGATTATGCAATAATCCTCACTAAGGTCAAAACCAGTTATCTTATTTTAAAAGGACACTGTAGGTTATATAACATACATTTGATCCTTGGCGCTTAGTAGACATATTTGGTTTAAAGTAAGCATTGTTATAATAGTGTCTAAAAGAAAGCTGCAAAATAACTATTTAGAATAACTTTTGCCACATATAATGAAAATACAAATCAGGAATACAAAATTAAATGTAACTGCTTGGTTTGAATTTTTCACATTTGAATGATCTGACACCTAAGTTTCTCTCTAAGTGCTATTTTAGCGTTCACACTTCTGTGTCCGCTCTTAGGAATGTGTTGGCTGTTGACTGCTTGTGATCAGAGATGACCATCTCCTCACCATTAACTGCCACTGATGAGAGGGCCTGGCATGAATACATACTCAAAAGGCATTTGTCTAATATTGAATAAAATGGTGTATAAATCAGAAACTGTGAAGTATGGAGATTAACACATATCTTAAATAAAAATCATAGGTACGATTTTTGGAGTAATTTTGATGTGACAATCTGCTTCAATATACATTATATATTTCCAAAGCCATAAACTATACAAATATATCTTTGTAATCATTTTGAGGATGAGCAGACTTAAAGTATATTTCATTTCTAAATATTCAATTTAAAAATAATTTTGTTCAACATAATTTGTGTTGAAAGGCAGAGGGTATATCACCCAATCCTCCACCTGCAACTGCTCGGAAGTCATGCCCTCCCTCCTCCTCACCCTCTCACATGATGCTCCAGCGATACTGACTTCCTCACTCTTCTTCAAAGTATCAGCATTTTGGCATATGACATTTGCATTAATTGGTCATTCCTTCCCCTGGGATGCTCTCTCCCCTGTACTTGCTTCCTCTATCAAATCTCTGTTAATGCATCCATCTCTCAACGAGGCAGTGTCTGACTGCTCTGTGTCAAAAAGCTACTCCAAAATCCTTGGATGATGTTTATTTTTATTCTTTTTGGCGGGGGGGGGGTGTTACTGGGGATTGAACTTGGGTCCTAGCGCTTTCGAGGCAGGCTGTGGAACCACTGAGCTAAATCCCCGGCCCAATGTTTATTTTTATAAGTACCTTCTCTATGATATCTTGTAACTTAAACACTGTGATGTAAAATTTAATACTTAAATATTATGATATAAAACCAATACATCTTATGTCACAGGATAAAGAGAAAAAAGGAAAGAACACAAAATATTATATAATATATATTATAGCTATTATAGATATATTTATGCACACATATATACAAACATATGGTATGGATAACAAAATAATGAAATACTCATGACAACTACAGTCTTCATTTGTATAACTGATCATGCAGTTGTAGCTCATATTTATAATTACCTTCTTCTACTATCTATTCTAAAATTCCTTTTTTCATCCCAGTGATTTAGCTCAGTGGTGCTGCCACCTGCCTTGTGAGCACAAGGTCCCGAGTTTGATCCCTGGTACCAAAAATAAATAAATAAATAAATTCCTTTTTTTGTCAATAATTATCTCAGCTAGTCATGGGTCTGTCATTGGTAGGACAACCTAAATCTTCATTCCTGAAGGTGATGGGGCATTAGTAGTCCTTTCTATATTGGGTTGTTGTAGTTTTCCATTGATCTGAATCACAGGACATGGTAATGGTAAGACATGCTTTATGGGTAGGGTATTCCCCACACATTCTCCTTTAGCTCCATTGTGGAGTAGCAGCTAGGATCAACAACTCCAGCTAGTACAAAAATTCCCCTCTTTGCCTACTGATTCAGAGGCATGAAGAGGTCCAAAGGGCTTGGTGGAAGTCTTAACTTCTGGTTCAATGGAATCACTGTTGTGTGTCCTGTGGAAGAATTTTCCCATTTGGAAAAAATCTTCTAGGCCAGCAGAGAATAAGGTCACAGGGACCAAAAGCAAAAGTTTTGCTGGTTGCTCAGTAGGGATGCCACTCCTGTTTCTATAATTGATTCTTGGGCCCATGAATTTAGTTATAGGAAAGCAGCACCTTATATTGGACACCAATTAAGAGCATATAAATCCTTTTGGAGGATCTTGATCCAACCAGGCAAGGTATCGCAATGTAAATGATGTAATTGAGCCTTCCATTCCAACGTTTGACCAAGTCAGCTGCTTCAGGTTAGTGGAAAATAGGCAGCCACGTGAGCACAAAGTGTGAAGGCTATCACCCTTAAGTTCAAGCAGAGAGGCCTGGAAGAATCAAACCCACTGATACCTTGGACTTTTAGCCCCTAGAAATGGATTAAATTATGGCAGTCATGATAAACTGATACACTATTCTTCTACTGAAAAATAATAAAAAAATCCTAAGAGAATCCTAGAGAAGTTAATTTGTGCACTTTCACTTAGATAATAAATGAGTGATGTGGGCTGGATGTGGTGGAGCACACCTGTAATCCCAGCACTAGGGAGGCTGAGGCAGGAGGACTGCCATGAATTCAAGGCCAGCCTGTGTTACATAGTGAGTCAAGGCCAGCCTGAACTAATAGAGAGACCCTAACTCAAAAAACCAAAATAAATAAATAAATAAATAAATAAATAAATAAATAAATGATTTAAATTCAGATCTTGACTTGAGAACCTTCCATTCCTAACCATTAGTTAAGAGAGCATCTGGTTATCTTATCTTTATAATTAGATGTTAAATATTTCTATAGTTTTTGGTCATTCTCAGAACACAATTGATAATAAATTTGTTGATTACTCTCTTTAAGGATTGTCCAACAAATTAGTATCTAGTAAATAACTGTTCTATGTTTAAAAAGGAAAAAGAATATGGGGGAATCATTTCTTGAATGACAAAATTTTGAGGCTATTTTTATGTCATGAGAAAAATGATGAGAACTTCCTGTGACTTAGCAGCCTACACTAACCTGAGGCTGAGGTTTATGTGCCAGGCAGTAATGTAAAAGGTTGAAAGGGTTATGTTTAGAAGATTTGGCAGATGTTCCCTTGGAAAACTTTTCAGTTTAGTTTTAGTAATAGCTGAGGCTGTAATTAATCAAAATGGACTGAGAGCAACCAGAAAAGTAGAAAAGCATCTTCACTGAGAATGTAAGATGTAAAATACAACAGATATCAAGTGGGAAAGACAAAAAATTTATTCATAAAGATTAAGCATTATCTCTCCTTAAACTATTGTATAAAATACATTTTATATATAAAGCATAAAGATATAGCTAGGTATATTCTATATGTTGTATGATTGAAATATACAACAAATGTTTAAATTGTTAAAAAAAAATGTGTTACAGTAGAAGACACAGTGCCCTTGATTCCCCTCAAAACACTTACCTTCCTTCACTTCAAAAGCACTTATCCCATCATTCTTGTCACTTTCTGAAACAGTTCTGGAAATCCTCTTTCATGAGAGCCTGTAGTTGCACTGTCATGGTTGTAAAACATTTATCTTTCATGGTCATTTTGACTTTGGGGAAGAGCTAGTTTTATGGTGCCAGATCTGATGAATAAGGTAGTTGAGGACACACTGTAATGTTTTTAACAGCCTTCCTTTCCTTTGGATGGTACTTAGCACTCACTGTATTTTCTATTACACCTTGTAGATATGAAAGAGGACTCCATAAATGCTCCTAAAGTGAGTTAGTGATGGGATAAATGTGTTTGAAGTGAAGGTGAGTATTTTGAGAATTTTGCTATACATTAATATAGCAATGTATCTTTCACTGTAATAAATGTTTTTTAAAATTAAATATTCATCATATATTTTTATTATATGTGAATACTTTCTAGATATGAAATACATTTATTACTGAATTTCTGCTTTGTATGTGTAGATCAAGTTGATAAGTCAAAATTACTTTATGAAAATTAACTATTTTATTTTTTAAAAATCAAGTTTCTTATTTAGTATCAAATTGGCAATCCTTAAATTTAAGTGTTTCAGGTGGTATTTATTTATCTTTTAAAAAGATGAGTATTTTGCCCAAAATCTGTACCAAGGAACAAGAGTCAAAGGTGCCTAAGCATGGTGCCTCCTGTGTACCAGAGAACGGTAAGTAAAGCACCTCTCACAGGTCACATGCGGCAGTGACGGACAAGTAGCATTTGATGTGAGTATGCTATCTGCAGTAGAAGCAGCAAAATACTGTATATTAGAAAGCTATCAAAGGGAGGAAGAAGATGCACTTTAAAAGTACATTTGGCTAAGTTCTGACTTCTTTCAAATTCCTGAGGCCAGGACCTAGTATATAACTTGTGGGGCCCTTTATTCAAAAACTTATTATGCCTTCCAAGATGGAGGCAGCAGAGCATTAAATCAAGCACCAGAGTCTTAAGTGTAGGGTCCATTGTGACTATACAGGACACTCTAAAATGTCCATCCAAAGACCCTGATAAGCATTTTCTTTGAAAATTCAGAGACTTGGTTAATCTCCAGGGTTCCCTACAGACTTTAGAATTCTGTATCATGACTTACATTTCTCAGATGAAAATGATTATAATGTTTATTTCTATGGCACAATTTTATGATTTTTCCCTCTGAAAATGTATTATTCATCAAATTATCTTCCAGTATTTGTAGTATACTTGCCTTAAAGGAGAAAAAATACTAACCTCTTAAATGGAATTCTTGATGATCTCTATCACATATTTCTAAAGAAACACTTGACTAAGGATCTGTGTAACACCTTCTGGACAAAAAAAGAAATTGAAACTATTAGATATTTTCAATCTTAAAGTTTAGAACTGGATAATAACAGTTCTTTAGTTATATTTTCTATTTTAGTACTTTAAAGTTCACCACAAGATGCAAATTATACCATCAAGCCATCTTGAGTTCTTTATGTTTTTGTAATATAATAATTAAACACAAATGTTTTTCTTTTAAGGAAGTATTGATGTTAGCATTCTTCTCCCCTCCTCAACATGCTAGAAACTGAATTGTTTACAGTGAGATGCATTGCAAGAAAGCAGAAATAAAGGAACAAGCAAAAGCAAGAGTGAAAAAATAAGGATAAGAAGAAAGAAAGTAAAGAGAAAGAGGAAGGAAGAAAGGAAGAAACAAGTCAATACTGTGATGTTACTCTAAGGAATATTTATATTTTATATTAAGGAATTTACAGAAACAAAATTAAGTCACTGCAAGGACAATTTAAGTAAAATTCAATGGAGAAAAAAATCTCTAAGTCCTTCTAGGTTTGGTGTGGACAAGCCACAGAGCCTAGGCTCAGGGCCGAAGGCATCTCATGATACCTAGGCTTTAGGTCTGTGATCCACCACAGATGACTCATAGTAAGAAGTGGAATTCATACACTGTCCACTGCACGCTCTGAGGTACTGTGGATACTTCTGGTACTTGCATCTAGGCTTTGTTTTCCCTTAGTAATGAAGTTTGGATTTTATTTGGTAGAAGCTGTTTATACAAACACAAAATTACATCTCCAGTTTCCTTTGAAGCTGGTGTGCCATATGACTTGTCACTGAATTGTGATAAATTCTGGCCATTAAATTAAAGACAAAACTATTTATTATGGGCAATTTCCTAATTGCCAAGTTCACAATGGCTACTCCCTACACGTTCTCTCCAAAGTAATTATCTTTACTTTGTTTTTACTTACCCTGAAATTGTCCTTCCTAGTTTTCAAAAAATAAGAATCTGACATTTTTCTCTTCAACATTTTAGCAACTCTTTTCAAGTATTTACAGTTGTTGCTTTAGTTAAGATTTCAATAATTTCTAATCTGGGTCACAGCAACAAATTTTTAATTAATCTCCCAACCTTTGATGTAAATGTAGTACTTCAGTTTGTTTTGTGTTCTATACTAAATATTTTCATGTTTTCTCTAGTAACTTTGAACTAGCAAAAATTGCTGAGAATTACAGCAATTTATTATTCCTGTGATTGTATTATTGTCAGGGTGATTTTGACAAGCAAACTTCTGGAACAGTGGGACATGCAATATATATGATATCAAGTGCCACCAGAGGACAGGAGGGAAGAGTGATTCTTAGAGAATGTAGAAAAATTCATCAAAGAATGGGTAATAATAGGTAAACCTCAAGGAAAAAGCAAGACTATGGTTGTACTAGTTAACATTCTCTCTGACAATGCAGAAAGGTTCCTTTTGCCCCTGTGGTCTCACCAGCATTTGTTATTATTTGGTTTGATGATGATGGTCATTCTTTCTGGAGTAAGGTAAAATCTGTTTTGTTTAATTTGCATTTCCCAGATGGCAAGAAATGTTGAACATTTTTTCATGTATTTATTGGCTATTTGTTCTTCTTTTGAGAAATGTGTTTGATTCAATTGCCCATTTTTTGGATTGGGTATTTTATTTGGGAGGTCTAATTTTTTAAGTTCTTTAGATATTCTAGATATTAGTCCTCTGTCTGAGGAACAGCTAACAAAAAAATTTATTTTTCATTCTGTAGATTGTCTCTTCACTCTCCTGGCTGTTTCCTTTGCTGTGTAGAAACTTTTAAATTTGATATGATCCCATTTGATGATTACTGGTACTATTTCTTATACACTAGGGTTTCTGTTTAGAAAGTCCTTGCCTACACCTGTGTGTTCAAGAGATCTAGCTATTTTATCTTCTAGAAAATTAAGTGTATTTGTTTTAACATTTAGAGCACTGATCCATTTTGATTTTAGTTTAGTACATGGTGAGGGATATAGACCTAGATTTAATCTTCTGCATGTGGATAGCCAGTTTTCCCAGCATCATTTATCAAAGAGGCTATATTTCCTCCAGTGGATGTTTTTGGCTCCTTTGTCAAAGATCAGAGAGCTGGATGCACCTACAGTTGTTTCTGCATCCTCTATTCCAGTGGTAGTGAACCTATGACATGCATGTCTCAGTGGGCTGTTATCATTGAAAGCTCTAAAAGGCTTGCTATCACTGCTAAGTCTGTTCCATTGATCCATATGTCTATTTTAATGCTAACACCATGCTATTTTTATCCGTGCACCTTTGTAGTATAACTTGAAGTCTGGGATTGTGATGTCTACTCCATTGCTTTTGTTGCCCAGGATTACTTTTATATTTTGGGTCTCTTCTGCTTCCATATTAATTTTAGGATTGTTTTCTCTAGTTCTGTGAGGAACAATATTGTTATTTTAATTGGAGTTGTATCAAATCTGTATATCAGTTTTGGAAGTATGGCCATTTTGATAATATTGGGGCTGCCTATACAGAGATATGGTCATTTTTAATTTTCTGAGGTTCTCTTCAAACTCTTTTTTTCAGAGTACCATAGTTTTTGTTGTAGAAATTTTCTACTTTTTGGGGTAGGTTAATTTCTAAATATTTAATTTTTTATGTTATTGTGCATGATATTGTTTTCTAATTTCATTCCCACTGATTTCATTGTTTACAGGAATGTTATTTTTATTGATATTATATGCTGTTATGCTACTGAAGTTGTTTATTAATTTTAGGAGTCTTTTGGTAGAACTTTTTGGGTCTTCTATGAAGAGGATCCTGTCAACTGCAAATAATAATTCGTCTTCCTTTCCTATACATATCCCTTTTATTTCATTCTCTTGCCTGATTGCTCTGGCTGATGTTTCAAGTATCATTTTGAACAGAAGTGGTGATAGTGGACATTCTTGTTTCTGATTTTAGAGGGAAAGCTTTCAGTTTTTCCCCTATTTAATAGGTTTGCCATAAACAGTTATCAGATTGAGATAAAATCCTTCTATACCTATTTTCTGAAGGATTTTTTTTTCATCAATGGGTGTTGGATTTTCTGAAAAGGTTTACATCTATTGAGATGATTATGTGATTTTTGTCCTTGTATCTGTTGATGTGATGCATTACATTTATTGATTTGTGTATGTTGAACCATCCTTACATCCATGGGATGAAGCCTACTTGGTCATGATGCATGATCAATTTGATGATTTGTTGCATTCTGTTTGCCCATATCTTGTTAAGGAGTTTTCCATTTATGTTCATTTAAGAGATTGGCTTGTTGTCCTTTTCTAGTTTTGTAATCAAGATATGCTAGATTGCAGGAATAACTCTGGGAGTACTTCTTTCCTTTCAATTTCATTAAAGAATATGAGAATATTGGTGTTTGGTCTTCCCTGAAGTTCTTGTAGAATTTACCAGTGAATCCCTCAGTACCTGGGATTTTATTAGTTGGCATTTTTAAAATTACTACTTCAGTTTCATTGCTTTTTATTGGATTATTCAGGGATTTGATATCTTCTTGGTTCAGTTTTGGTAATTCACATATATCTAGGAATCTATGCATTTCTTCTGGATTCTCCAACTTATTGGAATACAGTTTTTCAAAATTGTTACCAATAATCCCCTCTTAGTGGTGTCCATGGTGATTCTGTCTCTTTCATTTCTAATTACACTGATTTGGGTCTTTCCCTTTTTTTGGTAGGATTGTCTAAAGGTTTGCCAATTTGGTTTATTCTTTCAAAGAACCAGATCTTTAATTCATTGTTTCTTTGTGTTGTGTTTTTAGTCTCAATTTCATTAATTTTTGTTCTGATCTTTATAATTTCCTTCCTTGTACTAGCTTTGGATTTGTACTGTTCTTGTTTTTCTAGGACCATGAGGTGCATCATTAGGTTATTTACTTGGGTTATTTACTTGTCTCACTGATGTTCTAATATGAGCATTCATAGCTATAAGCTTCCCTGTTAAGACTGCTTTCATTGTGTTCCATAAATTTTGTTACGTTGTACTGACATTATGATTTGATTCTAGGAATGGGACAGGACTTATTTAATATTTATTTAATAATCTCATCTATCTCTAGATAGTCACCATAGAATGTATTCTCCAGTGATGGCATCTCTTGAGAGCAAAGAGTCCATTATAAGAAATACTGATGGTTGTGATGTTTTATTTCATCCAAATGAGAAATGTGTGGGGTTGATCCATCTATTTACCAACATAGGTATCACTCTTCCATCTATCATTACTATGTTACTATCTATCTTAAAACTTAGAAGGGAGAAGATTCCCATGAAAGTATGAATTTATATGTCTATTTTACTTGAAAAAAATGAGGACTGGCTTTTCCATTTAGGTTATTTGGTAGACATTTTCTATTAAGTTGAATGAACCATGTCTATAACTTCAATGTTTTGATAAAAAGATTTAAAATACTGATTTAAGTACTGTATCAAAAATTGTAATGGCAAAAGTGTATTAAAATTATCAAATTTTACATTTCTCCAAATCTTTCTGTTTAACAAGGTCACTTGACACTATAATAATTAGGGATTATAATTGAATAAGTTTCGGTAAAACATATTTTCTATTTATCCCAGAAACGGAGAGGAGAAGCAAGTCCTTGCGGCATCAGATAACAGCCCCACTTGCAGCTTAGTTCTCCCCCCACCGGAAACCCCATGGTGAGAGGCACCTCCAGCTGCCTCCTCTTCAGATCCACTGTGGTGTTCACGTGGGTGCCATGTTGCCCCTGACTGCTCAGAGAGTAGCTGAGTAAAACAGAAGTACAGACCCGGGCCTTTTTTTTTTTTTTTTTTTTTGACAATTCAGGACTCTTTTAACAGGTTTTTTTTGTCGTTGTTTGTTTTTGTTTTGGTACTAGAACTCCTTTGTGGCCTAAGGCTTTCTTGGGCTTGAGTTCTCAGCTGAGACTCTTCACCCCTAGTTTTCTCTCCTGGTACTTCACCTCTCAGGTTCAGATCTGCACTGCAGCCTGAATGAAGTCTTCTGCTCCTCTTTTCATTATTTCTTACAGGAATATCCTCCATAAGTCTCCAGTGTTTCTAATTTTATCTTAGAGTGTCTCATCCGTATCTGAGACACTCTACTACTAAGGCACCAAATCCTTTTCTGATTCTGCAATTTTGGCAAAATTGAGAGGATCTAATCAAATGGTTCACTGCTAAATAATACAAAATTCTAATAATATATCTAGTAGTGGGATAATTGGAGTAGAAGGAATTGCATTCCCCTTCTTTGGGATTAACTCAGAGGTTTAGGCCTACCCTTATTGTTGTGTGAGAAAACAGTCTTGGGAATGGGTTTAAGAGATGGACAGAGGAAGGAGAGGAGGGGAGAATGAAGTAAAAAGAATTTTAAAAAAAGATAATATACATTTCAATTTGGAGACATGACAAACAAAGAGAATGTTGTTTGGTATTCTGGGAAAGAGATTCCCCATTCTTAAATATTTGAAATAATATTTTAAGATAACCATTTGAAGAGACAGCTTTTCATTTTCTCTTGATATTGCATGTGCAGATGTGAAACCAAAAGCCACCAACTCATTTCATACAGTGAGAAAAGAAAACAGAGGAAGGAAGCCAACAAACAGTGGGAACAATGTGTTCACAAACAAGGGAACTACTGAGAAACAGGTGAAGCAAACAGCCTAGGTGATCCTAATGCCCACCCTACCTATGGCCTTCCTAGTTAAATAAGAAAATATTTTTTCTCTGTTAAAGCTCTTCAAAATGCATTCTGCTTCCTTCAACAGTGTTCAACTTCTATTTCTTCACTTTTATTGGAACCGGTCCTGAGCCCAGTGTGGGCCAGTTCTCTCCTACAGGAGTGGATGCTTGTTTCCTACACTCCAGCTGCTCTTCTGGGACTGACATGTAATTATTTCTTATGACTTTCAGCATTGCCTCTATACGTGCTTCCAATTTATATTTCCTCTGCAGCAAAGGACCATTTTGGACCCAGACACTACCCTGAACTAAGGACAATGTATTTTTCTGTTGGACTTTCAGCTACATCTCTCTCTAGCCTCCACAACCCCCATCAGTGACATCGGTCAGTGCTCAGTGGATGGTTACAATTTCAGAGATTATTGCATCTAATCAATTTAGGTAAGCATCTAAAATAATTCACTTTAAGCTTATTCTGCTAAACACTTTTTATAAGGATACGCATATGTGTAATCACATTTGCATACATATTGTACACATGTAGATATACTTGCATATAAATATGTATATCTATGTCTCTCCATCACATTTAAAGCCTTTCTTACTATGACATTCATATCACAGATGAATGAATCAGAACAATGTGTAGCAAGTGATAGAGCCAACACAGGATCTCATCTCATAATCATGAGATAATATTTTCATTTCTGAAACTTGGGGTTAGTCTAAGGAAAGTACTAGGAGAGGGGCCAGCAGAGTAACTGGAGGCCCACAGCAGTAGCTATTTATCAATTGTTATCAAAGTATTTAAAAACCAGAATGACTAGTATTGCTGTACTAGTGTGAGACATCTTGAATATTAACATGTTATAATAATTTCAGCTGTTATAAATTTCAGATACTCTTATTTGTATTCTAGCCTTCTTCCTGCTCTTCTGCCATTCACAGCTTTCTTATATCCTCCTATGTGCCTGCTTTTTTCACTTGTTACTAAGGAAATAATAAAGCATACTGATTGAGTCCTTTCTATGTTCATACTATCCTCAACCAAATTTTGGCAACTGCTCACAATTAAAAAAAAAAAAGACTCCACCAAGTTTAAACAGCTTTCCCCAGGGCTCCTTCTTTCTCATTCACAATACTCCAGATATCCTGGTTTTCCATTTTTTCTTTCTACACATTAGATTTTTCCCTAGCTCAAGGCCTTTAAATGTACTGTTTCAGCCTCAATCTACTCCTTTTTAGCATGTCTGCTTAGTTTTTATTCTCTTGGTCTTCAGTAGTTCTTCCCTGTCTGCTCAATTTAAAAAGTTGCTCCACGTTATTCTCTTACTAGCCTGATTATATCAGAGCATTTGCCACAATTTGTAATTATGCATTTTCATTAAAATTGTGCTCCTTCAAAAAAATAAAAAAACATAATGTTGAGGTCCTAACTCCCTGTGAGAATGTAATCTTATTTCTATATTGAGCCTTTATAGAGGTAATCAAGATAAAATGAGGTCATCAGGATGGGTGCTAATTCAATAAGACATGTGCTTGTTAAAAGTGGCAATTTGGACACAGAGAGAGTTGCAGGGGAAGAAAATGTAAAGACACACAGGAAGAAGAAGGCCATGTGACTGGAGAGATGCATCTGTAATTTTGGAAACACCAAGGATTAGCAGCAAATACTGGATGCTTAGGAAAGACAAGGAAGGGTCTTCCCTAATGGGAAGACACTTTGATTTTATGCTTTGGGCCTGTTTTAAGCCACTCAATTTTTGTGTTTTCAAGGAAGCTTTAGGGACTAATAAATATGCTGAGATTTATTTAGTATTTATCACATGATATTTGCTCATGAGACTTTGGTTTCATGAGCACAGAGGAGATCTACTTTATTAACCATTGTTTACAGCAGTACAGGTGATGGTTTCTGAAACCTGTTAGTTGTGAAGTATGTGTGGAACTAAGGAATTACTGAATGATTGGATCCATGGATTATGGTATTTTATCTCAGATTGTTCAAATAAACTACATAAAATAAAAATAATTTAATCTTAAAATCAGTGATCATAATGCCTTAAGAGAACATTTTGATGCATAATTATCAAATGCCTCTCATTAGTTATTAGATGATTCCCACTAAATGAGAAAGCATTGTTCTTCTGATCCTGTCAATGGATTACACTGTCATATTTTAGAATAAAAAATACAAGCTCTTCAGTCTCCATGACTTACATGAAGACAAATATAAATAGAAACTGGAAGTTCAAATTTTCTCATTTGAATGTGATTAATCATACCCCTAAAAAATTGCACAAGCTAAAGCAGGCAACACATACAAATAGCTGCTTCATTTTAAAAAAATCATCTTGCCTGGTACCCTTAGAAAAATGAACATACATACATTTTCAAACCTGGGAAAATTGTAATATGTAAAGAGAGGAATATAAGCAATAGTATACATGCCATTGGCTTCCTGCTTTATTAACTCATGTCTTTCACTTACTACACACATTCACACACCAACCATATCCATGTACGTAAATATGAATTTAAATATATACTGTATCTACATATATTCACACATATGAATCACATATGAAACTTTCTTTGATATATCATAGTAAAGATGACCATTACTTTACCTTATTTCAGAACCCATTCATGGAGGAATTGGAAGTATTAAGTGTTTAGTAGGTAAAAAGTGGAAGCTGATGAAGAACTTAATAACTTTATTTCAGCCAAAGTAAGTAGTCAAAGTCAAATGTGTGTAATTTATTCTTATAATTCTCTGAAATGTAGATCTGGCAGATTAATTCCACCTTTCTACAGATGGAAAATTTAGGCCTAGAATAGTTAAGTGCTCAGAATTTTAAATGCTAACATGCCTTAAAAAAAACTATGTTCAGAATTTAATTCTAGCTTTTACAACTCTAAGAGTTTACCCAAAGCATTTATTAAACACATAGGAATATGATGTCTACATTTATGTTAGATATCAAAAAGATTTACCAGAAAGAATATCTTCAAGATAATCTTCTCTCTCTCTGAAACTGTCCATGCTGCTGTAATCCTACACATTGAAAAATGGCTCAGATATGGGAAATTCTTCTAGATCAGTTTACTTCCAATGAGTTTAGCAGTACCTAATAGTTGCATGTTTCTATTTCAGAATATGCAGTAGTCAAACTGATTTTCCCTTTTTAAAAAATCCGTATGTCTTTCTGTAAAAACAATTATATCTTCCTAAAGATTTTATGTTGTTAAATGTTTAACTCATGCTGTCAATATGTACAGATCCTAACAAACATTATTGTAGACAACACTGTATTAATTAGGTACTATTAGCCTTTATATTGAACAGGTACAAGAACATTGAGCAATTTTCCTAAGGTTATAGAACTATAAATGAAAGTCAGATAAGGAACCAAAGTGTGATTGTAAAGCTCAAGTAACTGAATATTTTCTATCTATCCTCTAATACATATTCACAGGCTGTGCCTTCTCAGTAATGATATCACACTGCTCTTTAACAAGTAAGCATCAGCCCAGAGGTAGGGGCTTCCGGGCCACCCTCCATTCCACTGCTCCTGGCCCAGAGGAAGGGGCTTACAGGCTGCCATCCGTCCTGCCACACCCGGCCCAGAGGAAAGGGCTTCTGTGCCACTGTCCCACCACTCCCAGCTTAGAGAAAGAGGCTTCTGGCCCACCGTCCTTCCCACCACTCCCGGCCCACAGGAAGGGGCTTCTGGGCCACTGTCCATCCTGCCACTCCCGCTCCCGGGAAAGAGGAAGGGGCTTCTGAGCTGCTGTCCCACTGCTCCCAGCTCAGAGAAGGTGAGTAGTGCAGGTTCCAAAAGCACTCCAGGTCAAAATGAGAAGACACATAAACTATTCTCAAAAGCAGACTTCCAGATCACTACAGCAACCCCAAAGGGAAATGAGATGGAACACTCTGATACTGAGCCACCTGGACCTAATGAACTGGGAACAAAAGAGGATCTGGAAAAAATGAAATGAGAAATAATTTCTCAGATAACAGCTGAGATTGAGCTAGTAGTGCAAGACATGACTAATAAATCTAGAGAGGAGCTGAGGTACATGATGGAATCTCAACATAGGAAACAAATGGAATCCATAAAACAGATGCAAATAGATTTCCAGTAGATCAAAAACTCCACTGAAAGTCTACACAGCAAAACTAGCCAATGTGGGGACAGAATTTCAGATATAGATGATAAGATTGCAATTAGTGACCAGGAAAAGAAAAATTGCTTCAAAATTGTAAGGGACCATGAGAAATCAATCCAGCAGCTGCTAGACAAAGCAAAGAAGAAAAACATAAGACTGACTGGAGTCAAAGAAGAAGAAGGAGAAAGTGCAGATGACATAAAAAATCTCTTCACAGAAGTAATGGCAGAAAACTTCCCAAGCAGGGGAAAAGAATGTGACATACAGATAAGGGAGGCATACAGGACTCCAAATAGCCTTGATCAAAAAAAAATTTACACATAGGCATATAATTGTTAAGATTCCAGAAAC